CCCCCCGTGCCGGCTCTAGCTCTTGCTGACGGAGATCCCGTTTACTTGGGCCAGGATCTTCGGGGGCTTCCTTCCCCCATCTAGGACTCTCCCAAGTCCCCACTAGTAGTTAGAGACGGGAAAGACCTGTCAGCAGCCGCATGCCAGAGTAACCACATTGGTGCTGGAGTTAGTGGAATCAAATCAAAGCTGGCCATGAATCCAAGCCCATGGCCTGGCAGGCACAGAATACAGTTCTTCCCCCCACCCCCCCAGCTCTTTTCAGGTACTAAACTGATTGATATCACACTTGAGTTCAAAAGGCTAACAGCAGGCCGGTTGTCCCCTACTTCAGGAGGAAAGTACTTAGAAAAAAGGAGGGGGTAAAGTGCTGGCTTAAAGTTGTTTGACAATTCTTCTTTGCCCAATACAGTCACTGTAGAAAAGCCTCTCAGGGTACTTGTTGGGCCATGTCTTGTGCGGGTGTATGTAGTCTTTGGATGTTGGTATCAATGGATAGTTATCATTTGTTTGGATGTGTTCCTGCAGTTTCCCTGTACTCTAAAGTACTCTCCATTATTTGGGGATACTTCATATAGTAATATTGGGATACTTTATATAGTAATATTGTGCACTATAGGTAAAATCAATATTTGTAAGAGTCCACAAATTAACAAATATCTAACATGTTGTGCACCCTAACTTACTCTTTCAGTGCTTTTCAGATGCCTAAAACTAACTTCAATTATGCTTACGTTTTATGTTTAATTTTAGGTTTCTGTAGATGGGATTTCTGGACAAAGAGAATGGAGACCTCTGATTTATAGAAAATGCACAGACGTACTGTGGTTGATTTTATTCTTTCTTTTTTGGGCTGGTTTGGTAAGCATGCTATCCATTGAAAGATAAATATTTAGAGCTACTGTGATTCTGAATAAATGTTTAGGTGACCTCTCTCACTGCAGAAATTACAGTGCCTTGATCTTGTGGTCAGAGAGGAGGATTTTTGTGCCTGCACAAAGTAACTCCAAAGTCAGTTTAGTTCCACACCTGTGGTCAAAGGTTCTGCTTGCAAGGATCCAGTTGCAAGATCATCATCTTGTATGTAGAACAAGCTCTCTCAGGCAGAATCTTTGTTATGCTTATGTTCAGAGTCTAGGACTGTGGGGGTACTTGGTATTACCACAATACAAATTACTAATCAGTCTTGTATTCAATTTTCTAACTACCTTTAAATATAATTAATTCAAAGGAACATTGCATATTAGTCTTACACACTTTATAAACTAAACTGACTTGGGAAACAGGAGTTTTGTATTCCACCTTGTGTTTAATGCCCATGTAGATACAAAATGTCAGCACTTGAAACACGTCAAACTGTGGTGGTTTCCAGCAATTTTTTTCTTTCATTTTTTTCATTGCTTATTCTCTGGTAGATTTTATTAGTCATGTGTGAATTATGATTTCTTTTTGTTTGAAGCAAATTTGTGGTGACATCAGTGTTATTTGTTCACATAGGCAATGACTTTGTTTCAGGTTGTTTTGTTGTCTGGAAGAGCACATTATTTGTGCATACATGTTGGCACACTCTCTTGCAATTATTTAATGTTTGCAGCCGGCCATTTACTCGCAGTAGTTGTAGATCACGTTTGATATGCTAAACTTTTGTCTTAGTTTGTAACCTATGTGGAAGCAGCATGGGTCAGCCAACAAGTAAGTGCTGTTGGAACTGTAACTTCCATCTGTCAGAATTTTTCTTAGAAGGCATATTTAGAAGTAGGGTCACAGAAGGCTACCTCATGTATTTTTGTTACTGAGGTAGCCATCTGATTGCTGGAAGTGTATTAACTGAATAAATACATTGGATCTAAAAATATTTTGCTATTGTTACAGAGTTGTCATGCATATATATGTAGCAACCAGAGCTATCAAGTCCCTACAATGCTATATTAAGACAAATTAAGATATAAAAATTCAGGCATCACAATATTAATGTGATATAAATAAAGTTCTCCAACCATTTTTTTTTCTTTGAAGCCTTCCCCTTCCCCCATATGCTATAAAAACTCTAAGGTCCAGTGAGGGGAGACTTGAGGCTACTAGCTTTAGTGGGGGGAGGAAGACTTGGAGCTTTAGCCCTTTGGGGTGCCATGGCTCCGAGCTGTGGCCGCTGGGAGGGGCGGATGGGGAATAGGCATAATTTGACTTCTAGTTGGGAATTGGTGCTGCTCTGTAAGGGTTGTAGCAGCTCCGCATGGCAGGGTCTGGGGAGGGAGCACCACCTCTACCACCTGTCCCTCCTCAGGAGGCCACCCAATCTAGATTGGGCTGTGTGTGTGCAAGCAAACATTTGTAATTCAGAGCTGAGCCTCCCTACAATTTGATAGTTTGAAAATTGCAGGTAGGGGGTATCTAGGAGTATGTTCAGTGAAGGTCATAGCTCAGGTAAAGGGCTAACTAGTGGTTTTGTTCAGAGACGGATTTAGCTGAGGGTGCGTAGCTAGGAACTGTGTGTGGGCAGGGATGTATCTCTGTGTATAGGAAGGGGATCTCTGGTTTGTTTGTGCTGGGAGAGCTTCTCTTCTGCAGTTGCTGCTCCCCAAGGACTCTGCTAGCCCTGGAGCTGAGCAGGACTTAATGGCTGCACAATCTGCCGAAGGGGGCTGAGATCTGAGAAGCAGCTGCAGCTCTGGGCATCACCAGCAGCAAAAGGAGGATACAGGAGAGTGCCATGGTTGTGTACTGCATGGGACCAGCTAGAACAGCAACTGCCCACCTCTGGCTTCCTGACTCCAACCAGGCCAGAAGGCAGAACCTCTGGTCAGAGGGAAAAGAAGAGGCTTGGGAGGTGGAGGGTGGGGTGTATGGAACTGCACATGGGACTGCTCAGCTCTGACACTGCAGTTTGGGAGGGTGCAGTGCCCGCCATGTTACCCTAACTCTGTTCATGGGCTTGGGGCTCGTGAACTCCACAGTTGAGAACTGCTGATGTAAATCACTAGATTCCAAACACCTAAGTACAAATCTGATTACTTATATGATTAAAGTAATGAATGTACATCATTCAGTTCTTCACAGACTTACTACATTTAAAAAATTCCCCAAACTACTTAAAAGAATATTTAAGTTGAAAATCAAGTGCTCAAAAGTTAGGAAGTGCTGTAATTAAGGTTGTCTGTGTAACCTTAATTTGGTGTGTTTATGCATGTGTATATATATAATTATATACAGTCTTTAATTACATGACCATATACTATTTTTTGCATTGGACCCCAACAACTTTTATTGATTAAATTCTCAATGCCCCTGTGATATTTGGTGATTTTATTCCCATTTTAAGGTAGAGTAACTGAGACACAAATCTAGGCCAAAATTGTCAAGTGTCTCCTATTTTTGGGTGTCCAACTTGAAACACATAGAGCCTGATTTTCAGTATTTCATTTTTACATCATTGTATATATTCAAGCAAAGTTCCAATTGACTTCAGTTGCTGTTGTGAGTGCTCAGAGCTTCTGCAAATCTGGCCACAGGTGTCTCACATTCGGCAACTAAAAATGAGGAGTACATAATTACTGAACACCTGTGAAGTTTGTTGAAAGTAATTTGTACAGCATTACACAGTAAGTCTGTGGTGCAGACCGGGTTGAAATGAAGTTTTCCAAGGTGTTCAGTTTCTTTAAGCACATGACCATTTTTTCTTTTCCTATAATTCTGTGCCTCAGTAACTACACACCTTCTTCCTCTGTAATGAATTACAAAAGTGTCCTAACTGTAACACGCTGTTGGTCCAATGTGTCTAAAGGCCTTGCTCTGACCTTCAGTGCAGGGGTGAATTTCACTTCAAAATATTCATTACAGTGTAAAGCAATGTTTGAAAAGTTAATACCTGATTTTTGAAGCACCAGACAAAAATTATGTAGGCTAAACAAAGAACTTTTAATTGAATAGTAGAGGAAAAAAGCATAATATTGTGTGTATCATTAATTTGAAAGAAAAATAATATAATGCATATTTTAATAGATGTTTATAACTGGCTATGCTGTAACAGCCGGCGCTGCAGAAAGACTTGTATTTGGGTATGACAGCTATGGGAACGTATGTGGTAGGAAGAACACTCCTGTTGAAGGTGCGCCTCTTTCTGGACAGGATATGACAAATAAAAAGTAAGTACATCAGTTTTTTAAATTAAATACTTGAAATTTGGTCACTGAGTGCAATAAATGATCTGTAGTAAATAAATCTTTGGTCTGTTAGGGTATGTCTACATGGCATTCCTCCTTTGTGAGAGGACTGCAAATGCAGACAAACAAAATTGCATAATTAAGCACGGATTTGAATTTCACGTGCTACATTTGCATAATCGCATCCGGGCGCTATTTCAATATACCCTATTTTGAAAAAAGAAACGCTGTGTAGACATGGTTATTTCAAAAGAAAACCCTGCTCGGCTCTTCTTATAGTTCAAAAGTGGAAGCCCCTCAGGGAGCACAGGGCCATGCGCTCCCTGCACCTGAGCCTTTGAAATGTACAAGAGCCCTGCCAGGGCTCCTTCTTCATTTCAAAGGCAGAAGCCGCCACTCTCAATGGGGCTGTTGTACATTTCAGAAGCAGAATCACAGCAGAAGTGGTGGAAAGGGAGACCGCTTCAGTCTCCCCTTGCGCTGTTTCCAGCTGTGCCCTCTACCTCCTGGCAGAGATGGTGCTGGAGGGGAACCGGCTTTTAAGTTGGCAGCCACAGCTCCTGCTCTCCCCCCCTTTCTGCCTCTCTCTGATAGAGGCAGTGGGGAGGGAGGAGGAAGAAGCGACTAGTTGCAACACTAGTCAACTAGTCGCTTACATCCCTACTGCCCACATAGGTTTATTGCATGTCTGAGATCCTGAAATGCAATTTAAGATAAATGGCATGTGTTAGAATCACTTTCTAGCTTTTAGTTTCAAAATCCAAGGGTTCCAATTTCATGTGGAAAAACACATCACCCACTGTTATATTTTGTACTGCTTTTAAAGATTATGAGGAGGTTCAAAATGATATGAAAAATATAGTTTGCTTTAAAAGGGAATTCTCTCCCTCCTTCCTAGACATGTGTTCTTTTTGAATTCGTGCACTCTGGAAATTAAACAACTTAAAATCAATTCAATCGCCTTGTGTGTGTCTAGCTGTCCACAAGAGCAACTTAATTCTCTGGAAGACATCCAGCTTTTTGCAAAGAACAATGGTATGTAATAAAGAATATGGATTCCTTAATCTGTGTTGAAGAGTTAAACAGTTTTTAATCTTATAATATGTACTCCTGTTTGAAATAAGTTGTACTGGATCTTTACTTCCTTATTTTTAATTTATTTGATAAGCCAATGTCAATGGAAAGCATGTTCTTGTTCTTGCTTATTTAAATATTTTATTTATGAGAAATGTTATGGATCACTTATGTGTATAAAACTATTAGATGCATTTCTGAAAGGGACTGGATTGTTCAGGAGGAAGGTGGCTATTGAGGTCAAACTAGTTCAGGTTGGAATGGAATTGATGAATGGATGCCTTTTGTATGCTATGTGAGATATCTGCATTAACTCTGAATTGGATCCTTTAAATTCAATTAAAACTATAATGAAACATTATTGTTTCATTGACCTATCATATCTATGAGCCCTTTACATGTAGTGAGTTTTGTTTTCAAAGCCAAACTAGAATCATTTTTATTTTATGCTGATAGTCTAAAAAAAGTTACAAGTAGCTATTGTGCAAAATTTTTGTGTTGCTTTTCAGCATATAACTATGGTAAGCTAAAACTGATCCTTGCGTCAGTGATACATTACACAGCTAAAATGTCATATTCAAGATATCAAGGAGTTAAGACACAAAAAACTACCGGGCCTCTACCAGCATTATCCATTATATGAATATGGAAATCTGAAATGCTCCTTGGAGATCCCCAGTAGACATAATGAAGAAACCATTTATACACTAGTCAGAGTATTTTGTAAAAAAGCCCAGGGTCTGAGTTCTCTGGGCACAAGGCAGGGAAAATCGGATTCTAAATCTGGTTCTTTTTGAAACAATAAATTGACTACATAAATCTGGTCAGTGCTGCTCACTAAATAGTCTTTGGCATTTGGCAGGCAATGGCTAACACTCTGGGAATTCTTCTGTTCTAATATCTTGGACTGGATGGCAAGAATAGCTGTTTACAATGAATTTTTTTAAAATTTAATGTTGAGGTACTTGATGATTATTTAATACTTTTTTTTACATACATAATGAGCTGTGTACCCCAGTGATGCTCCTTAAATAATCTCAGCATAATTGAATTAGGTTACATGAAACTCCCTCTACTTTTAAAGAATATATATACCTGTCTTTAGAGAGTTGGCAATTTTGCATTTTAATTGGTTTGACTACATCCAAAGTAGGGATGTAAAGTTCCATTTATTTGGTTAACCAGCTACTAACATTGGATGGGGGCTGCTCCAACCCCACTGGTGAACTGTAACCAGTAAGCATCACGTGAGTAATGCTTACCAGTTAACGGATCACATCCCTAATCCAAGCACTACTTTTTCACAAGCACTGTAGTAATGTATTTTACCAGCAGACAGCCTGAAGATAGTGGATTAATGTTCTTAGGTCTGTGACTGGAAGATATTTATTTCATTCTGAATCATTAAGGGCCCAATCCTGCTTTAATTTACATAAATACATTTTTTTTGCTGTTGTCTCAATGGGAGCAAATAAGACTTTAAATACCTAAACATGTGAGGGCATTTGTGTGACCTAAGTCTCGAGGTTTGGTGATCGATGAGATAATGAAACATTCAAGATAAGGCAGAAATAAAGTTGTGCTCGTTTCCCTTAATATATTCACATGGCTTTGGGATCTCAGTTTTTTAAAAAGATTCAGTATTAGTGAAAATGCACATTGGAACTCAATTCAGAGGTGACTCTACAGAAGCTGAAATTAGTGTAATTCCTGGTGTAATTCCACCATTCTCCCAACTCTCCAGGATGCACTGTGCTCCAACTTAAATTCTCTGTAAGCTCCCTTACACATACTAATGTATAACTTACATTCCTATTATGACCCACTGAGTTTAGGGAAATGTAGATGGGTGTAACTTGTACACCAAAGAAGAGAGATGTATAGCAAGAAAAAAAGTCCTATCATGTCCCCTTTCTGAACATACACATCAATACACCTTCTTCTGTCTCCATGGCATTTAATTTACCCCAGTGTAGACTCTATTACATTGTTTTACACATCAGCAGATGGGCAGTGATGATGTTAGTCACCTGGATTTATGGATGTATGGTTGCCCTAAGCTAGTGTCTCCAAACTTTTTTTGTTTATCCCTAGAGATGTTAATTAACGTTTACAATGTTAAGCAGTTAAACCCTAGGTTTAACTAGTTAACCTTGGAGCAGCATGGACCTCCTACCCCCACTGCACACCATGAGCAGGGAACTGCTCCAGCCTGGCTGCACCTGCCATGCCATGGGCTGCTCCAGCAAGGCTAGACTGAGCCCACTGCACCAGGCGGTGGGCATGGGGCTGCTCCAAACGAAAACCTGATAAGCATGCTGGTAAGGCTCATGTTTACCAGGTAACCGATTAACCCTTTACATCCCTAGTTGTCCCTAACCCCTTGTCTGGTCTGGGCCTCCCCAAGAGGTGGGAGGAGGAGCCAGGGGTTGCTGTGGGCCCAAGCTGGGAGAGTGTCCAGGTGCAGAGTTGTATCTAAGGTTGGGGGTGGGACTGGAACACAGCTGGGGGTAGAGCAGAGTTGGATAGTGCTCCCTCCCCCCTCAACGTGGGGGCTGACCAGGGTCCTATTGGCAAGCCCCAAATGTTCCTCTAGGCCAACGGTTCCCAACCTTTTCCAGATGGGGACCCATTTTGACAATTCAGGAAGACTTGGTGACCCAAGGCAATTCAAAAACGGGGAGGAGGGGAGGCAGAGCCACCTGGGGAGACTCTGGGCGACCCTTTTGAAATGTAGTGGCGACCCATAGGTTGGGAAACCCTGCTCTAGGCCCTCTGGTGGGGTTGCTACACGCTTTAAGGGCCACTGGCCTAGACTGTGGTAAGAACCACCCAGGAAGCTCAGGCAACTGTGGGGAGCCCATGGCCCTCCATATGCCTTGGGTGTGGAACTGGGCTACCTAAGGGCAGCCCCTGGCCTGTATCGCTGCCATTCAGTATATGCCTCCTAGGCAGAAGGAAGGTTGAGGGCTCCCCGGGCAGCTCTTACTATGGTCCCAGCTTCCAGCTAGATAGGAGCCGTGGCCTTGGGACAATGGGAGGAGCAGGAAGTGGGGCTACATGGCAGGGACGTGGAGCAGGGTCCCAAATTTCTTTGTGCCCAAGGGCCCCTTAAGCTGCCTCTGTTGGTAGATTGCAGTGTGATTCGCAATGAGAGATTTACCATCAATGCTTGTTAGCAGTGTGAAGGCAGATTGGTTAGGGCTGTACACTGCTTCGACTGCAATGTAAAAATATTGGAGTAATAACCGGACTCCCTGGGGAGCCAGCTGAGTTATTCAGTTCAGATGCACTGCAAGCAAAGGGGTGGCCAATCTCCAAAGCTGGTGGCTATTTCAATATTTATATTTACCAAGCTAGCACAAAACAGCTTCTGTATTATCTTATTAATCAATCAGAAGTTCAAAGCACCCAGCCTCAGGCTTCCACCCACACACCCTGGTCAAATACGCTTTTACCAGTTCCAAAGGACTGGACACATTCCCTTTCAGGTCAACACACGCTTCAGACTTTATTCCAAATACATGCTTATAGCAAGTTCTTACTAACTACATTAAAATAAAAACAAACAAAATGGAGACTATTAGTTAAAACATCAGTAAGATACAGACACGAGTTCAATTCTTGAGGTTCAAATATGTAATAGTGATGGTGATCTTGTAGTTACAAAAAGTTCTTTTAGGATTTAGTTCATCGCCATTAGTCCAAAATCCAATATTATATTCAAGTTGTTTCCAGCCAATGACAGGGATCGCAATCCATAAGGCTTAGATTTCCCCTGTACAAAACCTCAAGAAGAGCTGAGAGAAAAAGGATCGTGCTCAAAAGGACTCTATACCTTTGCAGCAGCGGTCTCTTGGTCTAGGAGAACACAATAGGCTTTTGACATAACCTTCTGTCTGCTAAACATCGTGGTAATTAGCTCAAGATAATTTATCCGTTAAACAGTTCACATACAGTTTATTACAGCCTTCAAAGAGACATATAAACAACAATACCACTTATACCAAGCTTTACCATAAATATTAATGCTTTCTTCTGATCTTGAATCAAAGCTATAGTAACAGACAAGGATTGTTCTCATTACAAGACCTGAGCAAACACCTACCCTTCTACTGTTCTAACAGTGCAAGTTTGCATTTTGAAGTTCTGTTCTAACACAGTGATCTCTAACCTTTTTAAGCATCAGATCACTTTTTGAATTGAAGTGCAATCCAGGATCCACCTCAAACCCAACACTCTTGTCCTGCCTCCTTCCCCCCCCTTCTCCAAGGCTCCGCCCCTGCTCACTCCATCCTCCTTTCCTCCCCACCCTCACTCACTATTGTTGGGGTGCAAGGGAGTGGGATGCGGTCTCTGATCTTGGGCTAAAGGATTTGGAGTGTGGGAGGGGCTCTGAGCTGAGCCTGGGGCAGGGAGCTGAGGTGCAGGATGGGTGCAGGAGCAGGCTCTGGGAGGGAGTTTGGGTGTGGGGGGCTTGGGCAGAGGTTTGGAGTGCAGGAGGGGTTCAGGATTGGGGCCAAGGTTTGGAATGCAGGCTCAAGCTGGGCACCATTTACCTCAGGTGGTTTCCAGGTGGTGGTGCAGGGAGCTAAGGCAGGCTCACCCCTCCTCTGGCCCTGAACTACTCCCCAAAGAAGCCAGCAAACTCTCTCCATCCCTGCCCCCCTCTGCTCAGTGGAGATGGGGTACAGGGTGGAGGGAGGGGCACCCTGACATCAGCACCCCTCCTCTTCTGCCCTGCACAGCAAGGAAGAGGCACCTGGGCAGAGGGCAGGAGCGGCACAGCAGAACTGAGAGGGTCAGATGAAGTGCCAGCACTTAACAGCCTCCTTTCTAAACCTGTCAGGATCATCTGTCAAAGGCTCCAAGATCTACCAGTAGCCCCCCCCCCATCTACTGGTTGGTGACCACTGCTCTAACGTAATGTAACAGCCCAGCTATCATTTACACATCTCTCAACATGCCTTTAAAGACTGACCCTGGACATTCAGCCTATAAGCTGGTTGACCCTTTCTGGCCATGCGGCACATTTTAATCAGATGTCTAATATTTCAATCAGATAACATCATGTTTGGAGTAAAGTTTATCAACAAGGGCTTGTAGTTCATCCACTTTCGTCAAACCACATCTTTTACATTTGGCAGAGTTTGTGTTGGAATGGGTTGCAATCTGCCCTATACCTGTCCTTTTTGACTTGTCAGAGTAGGTTATATAACAGCATAGAATGTGCTTGTCACTTGTGCGCAAGGATAGTTGATATTTCAGGAGCATTGTCATCAAAATAGTCTGTGTGACAGTGTTTTTAAATACTGAACACAATACACAACAGCGTTTTAGATTGTGTCAGGGATACCCATTTGACAGAATGTCGTTGTTGATCGTTGATAGTTTTCTACAACAGTAATTAGCTGTGTTGAAAATTGTTTAATGATTGACATCTTTCAGCCAAACAATATTTACATACTATCCCGAGCTGGGTATTTTATGGATTTGATTGAATAAGGAGAGAAAGCTTTGACCTAATAAGATGGTAGTTAGTCCCACAAATAGTTCTTCATAATACCTGAGTTGTGGTTTGCATGCTTGTGTGCAGGCTGTGGGTATCAGCATTGTGAGTCATGGCACCATAGCTTTGAAAGCATCCAGAGGGACGTCTCAGGTGAGGATGTTAAATGTTTCACCAGTTAACTGGTAAGCCTCACCCTTAATGTGGAGGCTTGCCCGGTAAGGTTAACAGGCAGGAGATGAGGGCAGTTCTAGCCCTGCGGCAAGCTTGCCAAATACAGGGGCTGCTTTAGTCATCCGCACTGGACCTTCGCACGCTGCCCGCCCAGCTCCCCTTTAATCAGTTAACCAGTTAAACAAGAAGTTTCACTAGTTAATTAAATGGGATTTTACATCCTAATTTATTGGTCTGGGCTGAATTGCAAAGTGTCATATCCTCATCAGAGTTCATCATTGTCAGTTTGTAAATGCTGATCAGTAAAACAAAACATCCACCTCTTAGGGCAGTCAGAATTCCCAGTCTGTCATTCATACCAATGGCTACGTTTTCCAAACGAGACAAGATTCCTTCTGATTGCAAAAACAGTTCCTGTGTTTCGAGGCTCATTCTGTGGGTGTCCCTGTCAGAAGTATACTTACCTAATGTGCTTCTCAGTTAATTGACTCTCTTTTCAGCACCCACATCTCTCTCAGAGCTGCAACGTGAATGCAGTATCTTTCAAGCTCTTGAGCAATAGGAGCAGTCCATCTGGCAGGACCATTTGTTTGGTTCGGACAGTTAAGGGGTGTACAAACATTCCACCTCGCAATGTTAAAGCAAAGGAAACTTTTCAAGGCTTATCTGAATTTTGACTGCATGATGGGATACCCTCCAGCTGAGCTGTTCAGGGCTGTTCACAATGAGCAGTTTTCTGAGAACTTTTCTAGCACCCTCTTGTGATTGAGGTCAGTTGTGCTATCCCTGAATCAGTCAAGATACTGCTGGGCTATAGTGTCCACCCCAGGTCAATACAGAGTCTTGACCTACACATGTATGGGTTCGCAGCTGTGACTCCTAGCAATGTTCCTTGTCCATCACTTTCACCATTCTCCTGTCACTCTAGGACTTATTAAATTATCAAAGGCAGTGCCAGAAATGGTTTCAGATGGAGAAACAGTTTTGCATGCCAACTCATACTCTCTTGGCCAACAAAACCATTTCTAGTGGCAAAGTAAACTGAGACAACTGAAGGATTTGCTGGCTGCATGTTTATTTTTGTAGTGACCTTCTCTTTGATCAGTTGTCCTATTTCCCAGGCTAGTAAGTTTGGCTTGCCCCCCAAATCTGTGTAAGAGAGTCTAATTTACCTACCTAACACCATATTACAAAACATCTCTGAATTTGGCTCTGAAGGGAGGATTCTGGAATATAAGAAATGAGAAAATAAAATAGTATAATAATCTGAGATTAGTAAAATTTGGATTATCCAGTGTTACAGTAGGTTGTGCTTTCATCTCTTAAAACCAGTTGCAACAATTTACTGATAAAAGTGGGAAAAACTGAAAATATTACTGTGTCTCTGTAGAGAATGGGTTAGGGGTTTGATCTTGATTCATGAAGTTATCTGAACTATTTAAGATTTTAAACTGCCTCCTAAACAGAAAAATGTTTATTTAAATACAAAATGATCGAGGAAAAACAGTGCAGTTTTGTAAACTAATATTTATTGTGCTGCTCCAAATTTTCCAAACACCCCTTGATTTGAACAGTTTGCAATTTATATAGATTTTTAGTACTTTTAAGAAGTGTGTTTTCTGTGCAGAAAGGAACATTGACAAATAACAAGTTCCCTCTCATGGGTTTTTATTTTATTTTTTAGGTTCTTGCCTTTGTGTTTATAACTTGAACATTTCTAGTTACACGCTAAATCCGAAAGCAGCTGAGCTATGTCCTACACTGCCAGTTCCACCAAGGTAAAAATTACTGTGTGCTTCACTGCACTGTTTATTCAAGACAGCTTTTCAAAGACTGTCCTTCACATTTTGTGCTTGACTTGATGCATACCAATCAGAATGATTTTACTTTGTTTAATATCTTTGATTTTAGATTTTTGAATTGTCATATGCGTGCCCGTGCACTGCCCTCCTCCCATGTTTTTCAGACTCCTGTTCAGAAGAGATCGTTAAGCATATGTTCAAGTCCCATTGCCTTCTGCAGGCACAATACGGAATTGGACTCTTTATGCTTCTGTATTCCTTTGCACAAAGGAAAGCAAAGAAAAGAGTGTGAGAGATTTCAGAGCTGAAATGTAAAATGAATTGAAAAGAGGGCACCTCACACTTATTTCTTGACAGTCTGTATTTTCTCTCTGCAGTGTGAAATCCTCATGAGCAGTCTCTGTTATGAATGTGATACTTACTCATAAAAGCAGAACTGGTTGAAGCAGTTTCCCTAGCAGTAGTCACCATTTACTTATTAATTAGAGGCATACTATGGTGTTTGACTGCTGTTTCCTTTTAGATGCATGAATTTGTCTGAGCTCTAAAACCCTTCCTGCTGGCTTAGTGTAGCAGTGCCAAGCCTAGAGGGATAATACATGTAGGACACTTGGCTAACAGTGCCAAATAACATTGTTTGATATATAAATATTTGAGTGGGCTGACTGTATGCTCAAGATGGTAAGGCATAGGCTCAGTACACTCTTAAGAATGTTGGACTATCATGAACACTATGCAAATGTGTGTGTGTGTGCATATACAATGAATAATAATATATTGATATAGCCTATAGTTGTACTGATTTGTGTTTTAATTCCATCCATTCTTGCAAGTTAAGTAAGTTAAGCCCAGTTCATGTTTGATTAGGAGACTACAAAGGAGCAGAAACCTTTGCTGGTGTTCAGTAGACAGCATTATTCCCGAGTCAGTACTGAACCAAAACCCTATCTGGAGGTACTACGCTGGTAGAAGAGCTGGCTTTCAGATGATATATAACTGACCTGCTGATTATTTGTGCCTGTGAAAGATCTTGTGTCTTTTTTCCTTAGAATAGGGTTATTAATCATATTGACTTGGGAAAATTCCAATTTGGCTGAATATGTTCTGCCTTCCTAAATCTCTCCTGTGGTTTTAATCAAATAGAGAGATTTCCTTTCATAACAGTTATAAATTGTTATGCAGTGTTGTGGTGCATTGTTAAACTGCTGTGCTCCTTTACTCCATATGCAGCTTCAGTTTTGTGGGAAGGATGAAATGTTCTCTGTATATTGGCTTAAGTTCTGGAAAGTGTTTTGAGATAGTGTTTTGAAATAGTTCAGGGGAGCCCTAAAGTTCATTCTAAATATTCCAAATTTACCATAAACTGCTTACCTTAATTTAGAACAGTGTCTTTATTTTGGTGGCAGTGATCACCTATTTTTTATATTTAATTTTTACTAAAAAGCAAACAAACATAATACTGCATATAAACAAAACACAGCAATTTGTGTTCGAACTGTGTTATTAATCATTGAATGGATCCGAAACCTTTCTCTCCAGTAATCAACCTTTCCCCCATCTCTTTTTTTTAACTTTCCAGCAAATCCTTCCCATTGTTTAATCGATGTGTTCCACAAAACCCTGAGTGCTATTCACAGTTTGCATCTGTCTTGATAAATGGGGTTAATGAAGCTGATATTTTTCATCGTATTCTGAGTGGAATAATGGCAGGAAGAGATACTGTAATAGGACTGAGTGTCCTTGCACTAGGTAATGTTATGAACAGATACAATTTTTTTAAAACATTGAATCTTGGTATTTTCTGCATAGACAAATTTATTTTTATTTAAGTTAAGAGCGAGAACTGCTATTTGCTTTCACAGGGCATTTGGTAGACTAGTGAAATTTTAGATTTATAGAAACCGGACTGAAAACTTACTCTGTGTCACTTGTTTGTTTATTTTTTGTTTTTTGGCCTGGCTCCATTAGAAACTTTAGGTAAAAAAGTTATAAAATCAGAATTTATTCTAGCATGAAATATGTTTTATTGATACACTATTTCCACTTTTCTTGCCATTCTGAGAAGGCCATTGAGGGCTTAGAAACTAGTTTCTTGGGAGATTGTAAACACACATTCCCCTTGAGTGTGCATCAAATGCATCAAAGCCAGATAACTTTACCTAGCAGTACCTGAAGAGTTGATGCTGGTGCCTTCTGTACCTTAGCCCCTCCCCAAGCTGTTTAAAGGCAGTGTCACTCTGATCCTCCTCTGTTCCTGCACACAAAACACTATAAATTTGAGTCTCAGATGCAGAGGGGATAAAGCGGAGACCATGGAACATTTTTCTGCACTCCATCTTGAAGAACATTTACCTATAGTGTAACAGTCTTTTCAAGTGATTGCTGATGTGTGCTCCATTTAAGTGATTCAAAAGCAGTTTCAGAAGGAAATGGGGTCAGAGTCTGCTCAAAATTGCTGTCCCAAAATTTGCATCTGATCTGCACTTGGTTGTAATAACATACAGCTTGGGTAAGTATCAGAGGGGTAGCCGTGTTAGTCTGAATCTGCAAAAGCGACGAGGAGTCCTGTGGCACCTTATAGACTAACTGAAGTGTAGGAGCATAAGCTTTCGTGGGCAAAGACCCACTTCGTCAGATGCATGTGACGAAGTGGGTCTTTGCCCACGAAAGCTTATGCTCCTACACTTCAGTTAGTCTATAAGGTGCCACAGGACTCCTCGTAGCTTGGGTAAGGTGTATGTATAAAACCAAATAGAACCTCTGCAAATGTCCAATGTCAAAATGCTGCTGAAAAATTCAACCAGTTCCACTGGGGCTTTGTCAAATAGCTTTTAACCTGCATGGAATAAAGTGAGCTCTCCCATAAGGTACTGTAATACAGGATGTTATCCACCTGGAAACCATCTGCAATATGCAAAAGAAATGAAAAGATGAGGTGGTGAATGGAATAGTTAAGTATCTATCAAGTGATATGCCAAACATTGTCTCTCATCCAAGGAATGAAAATGCTGCTTATCAGCACTTGAATGAAGTTTGGGAAAAAATACTTGTCTGATTAGGATGAAATTGTGACACCACCTTTAACAAAAACTTAAGATATGGCATCAAAATGACTTTGTCTTTGGAAAACTGGTTATATGAGGCCTATGCCATAAGGGTCTGCAGCTCCCTAACTAACCTTGCAGAAGCTTTTGCCGCACGGTACAGTCTTTTGGCATAATAGAGACAGAGAACAAGGACTCAAATGGAAAACTCATGAGGGCATCCAACCCAGTGCTGAGGAATTCCCATTGAGGAATCCCTCCCTACACTAATGGGAAGAGACAAGTGATCCCTTTCAGAAATATGACTACTGTGGAGTTTGAGAAGGCTGAATTTTCCTTAGATGAAAGATGAAGTGCCAAAATCATTGCCACGTGGACTCTCCACAAACTGAGAGGCACACTAAAAGACTGTATGTGCAACAATTACTCCAGAATGTCTTGAATGCAGGATCCTATTGAATTTCCCCCCATCCTAGGGACGAGATTAAAAAATGTTTCCATTTAACCAGATAGGTAGCCCTTACTAGAATCTGTCAAAGAGCTTCAGAACCGCACACCTGTTGCTTGTCTAGCTATGCAACATCCATGCTGTGAGGTGCAGGCTGTTCAGTGTTGGGTGTGAAACCCAGTTCTTGTCAATTTCATCTTGTTCATGAAATCAAAGCTAGCAAACTGATTTTAACACTTAAAATGTAAAATTACCTTATATATTAATAACTAGCTTAATTACTTTATTATTTAAGCTTTGGAGTCATGAAAGTATCCAAATTTTGCAGTTTACACAAATAAGATGGTTATCTACTTGTTCTACAGCTGTTGCTCTTCAAAATATGAATGCACATATATATTCTGTTTAGGGGATGCACGCTGAGGACCAAAGCTTGAGAACTTTGTCTAGCAATACACCAATGGGGCACTGTTAGCATAAGAGTGACCACCTCAGTCTGTCTGTCTATCCCTATTGTCCTGATCTACTGAGTCAGTATCATAGGGTATGTCTATACTACCCCGCTAGTTCGAACTAGCGGGGTAGTATAGACATACCCTATGATACTGACTCAGTAGATCAGGACAATAGGGATAGACAGACAGACTGAGGTGGTCACTCTTATGCTAACAGTGCCCCATTGGTGTATTGCTAGACAAAGTTCTCAAGCTTTGGTCCTCAGCGTGCATCCCCTAAACAGAATATATATGTGCATTCATATTTTGAAGAGCAACAGCTGTAGAACAAGTAGATAACCATCTTATTTGTGTAAACTGCAAAATTTGGATACTTTCATGACTCCAAAGCTTAAATAATAAAGTAATTAAGCTAGTTATTAATATATAAGGTAATTTTACATTTTAAGTGTTAAAATCAGTTTGCTAGCTTTGATTTCATGAACAAGATGAAATTGACAAGAACTGGCTTCAGAATTCGAGAACAAAGGGTAAATCCATTCAAGAGAGAATGAGCTTCAGAAAGCAAGGGGGTTACACTGTTAATGCATTTCTCTAAGAACCTGACTACTCTACATAATTTCCAATTCTGATCATTTTAGGGTCTGATTTTGGAACATTCAGGGGCAAAACAGAATCTCTTCTATTTTAAAGCCTGTTGATCTCCGTTGAGATCAGTATTTTTCAAATAAAATATCTAAATTTTCCATGTAAAATAATTAGTTTGATAAAATGGATTGCAACAGTCATCTGAAGTTAACCCTTTCTATATGTGTTTTTTTTTTTTAATTTCCAGCCTTCTCTTTAATAATGGTTTTAACCTTCAGATTCATCACCACACTTTTGGTCCATATTTTCATTACACTAGTTGTGTTTGGATTGTTATGTAAGTATATTTATTTATAATGGATGTTTAAGTAATACTTTTTTCTCATTGAATTGAAGGAAAAACATAAAGGAAAAAATAACAAATGTTTCTCCTCCAGTATCCTTCAGTAAGCTAAATTGGGTCCCAATCCTGCATTTGAATCCATGCTGGACTCTTACTTCTGTGCAGATGAAAATATCTGGCTATGCAGGTCTAGTTGTAGGATCAGGGTGTTGGGATGTTTGGTTTGGTTTTAATTATTTGGTTTTAATTATTTACAGTAGATTTAATTTTTTTTGACAAATTATTTGAATCTGAGTAATGGTAATGTTTCCAACAAAGTTAAATAAAGAATTTAACAATGCACCCTTTTTTAAAATGGAGAAATACTCAGATCACATTTCAGGCTTTGACCAGTTTTATAAATTATGTTTATGTCTAGCAACAATGCTGTAACTTCAAAGCTGAAAGAAAACCAGACCTAATGTTGGCTTTGACCTCAAAATAGCAAACCAGCTCCACAGTTTTATTCAGTGATTAGCGTTATGTTAATTACATCTAGTATTTCTCACCTTATGCTGCAGTCACCTTATGCTCTTCAGTTATTTTGGAATTCAAGAGGACAGAGAACATATAAACATATGTACATTAGCTTGCCAGTCACTTGTGATGCACTGTCGTGATGCACTATCTGCAACTTCATGAGTTTGTGTTTGTGTTAGTTGTCTCAGGTATTCTCTGGTGGCTGTACTATGACTATGCCAATGACCCAAGCATAGAACTGGAAACCCAAAAGGAAAATGTAAAATTTTTACTTGGATTTGCCATCATTTCTACAGTGATTACGGTGAGAAATGTTACAGAATGGTGGTGAGGGAGCTTAATGCTAGAGGTTACAATCTGAAACCTTGAATAAAGCTATATGACAACAATGCAAATACACATATACCCTTATTTATTTAAACTTGACATTGATAAGTGGACACTCCAATGTAGTGAGTAACTGAGCCAGTGTTGTGATGTTTCAACCAGTCAGTGTATCCCAGGGTGGATTGCACGCTCGTGCATTCTGCTTTCTATTGCAGCCAAATAAGATCTGCTTATAATTAATTAAGCCTTTTCTTACACCTTTATGGCATCCCACTATAGAAAGGATGTGGACGCATTGGAGAAGGTCCAGCGGAGGCCAACCAAAATGATTAGGGGGTTGGAGCACATGACTTATGAGGAGATGCTGAGGGATTTGGGCTTATTTAGTCTGCAGAAGAGAAGAGTGTGGGGGGATTTGATAGCAGCCTTCGAATTCCTGAAGGGAGGTTCCAAAGAGGACAGAGAGAGGCTGTTCTCAGTAGTGATGGATGGCAGAACAAGGAGCAATGGCCTCACATTACAGTGGAGGAGGTCTAGGTTGGATATTAGGAAAAACTATTTCACTAGAAGGGTGGTGAAGCTCTGGAATGGGTTACCTAGGGAGGTGATGGAATCTCCATCCCTAGAGGATTTTAAGTCCTGGCTTGACAAAGCCCTGGCTGGGATGATTTATTTGGGATTGGTCCTGCTTTGGGCAGGGGGCTGGACTCGATGACCTCCTGAGGTCTCTTCTAGATCTATGATTCACAAACATAAACCTTTTGCGAGGGCTGTAGGACAATGCCATCAGAGGAGCTGTGCTGGAGGACTAGTGCCCTGGGCACGCTGCTGCAGTGTGGGTCTATAGGCCATCTTCATTTAAGCTAACGAAGGGAGTTGAGTGAGTTGAGAGAGTGGGCCCAGTATACCTTGTAAGTGACACAAAGGGGCAACAGCCATTGCAGAGGGGTGTAAGCTTAGTGCTGCAATTTAGTGTCCTGTCCACAAACTGTGGTGCTGAATATTTGTCTTCCTGTCGTCCATCACACACAAGGTGATTACTTTGGCTTTATGCTGTTGAAATGAATGTTTTGTCTTGTTTAGCATAGTAGCCCCCTATAAATGTGTGAACGGTTCATATATTGTTGGGAAATGAGTCAGTTAAATTTCTTTAAGAGCATATGTGGTCTGTATTATGTTAAAATGACATATACAATTGTGATATGTACTTGCGATTGCTTGCATATTCTCTGTACTTTATCAGATAGTGGGATCTGCACCTCTTCTCTTGCTCAATAGAAAAATAAGAAAAGGTGTTTTTGGATGCATATTTGTTCTTGTGCACATATTTGTTCTTGTGCAATTTGCGGGTTTGTTCTGGTACTGTTTGTAGAACTCAAAATTCACCCACTTTTCTTGGTTGCTCTTTTAAGAGTATCTGATATCTTAGTGTAGAGCAGGCTAGAAAAGTGGCTAAGCAGCTTCTATTGTGAATGTTTGTTTTATAGTTTCCAGAGTGCTATGCCTTTTAGACACTGTTTACAGTTCAGTCTTATTTGGTGCATAATAGTTTTATGAAAAGACATGTTCTGCTGCAGTTCCTTTGTGAAATCTGTATCACACTCCCCCTACAAAATTTGGCAACTTCTGATAATTTAAGAAAGAAATTCCTAGTTTATTATTGTTCTGATTCTCTTGTCATCTCTTTTAATAGATAATTCTACTTTCCCTCATATTTGTACTGAGGAAGAGGATTCAGCTGACTGTACAGCTCTTTCAGATTGCTAATAAACTAATTGGCAGGGTCCCTTTGCTACTGTTCCAGCCACTGTGGACCTTTTTAATTCTCATTTTCTTCTGGGTTTTCTGGGTTGCTGTGCTGCTTAGCTTAGGAACTGCAGGTAAGTAGTTGTAATTTATTTTGGTCCTGGGTTTACAGTGTCTCATTTTAAAATTTAGTCTTTATACACACAGTCTGTTGGTGTTAGTGTACAAGGCGTAGTACATGTAATATATCTATTTTGTGGTCTTGTTTTCTGTTTACTTCACTTTTGCTTTTCTACAAGTACTGCAAAAGTATTGACAGTTTTCTGAGGCAAAGGTAATATAGCATAGGACTACTCAACACGCGGCCCATGGACCACATGTGGCCCATTGCCTGTTTGTTTGCAGCCTGCGGTACAGTTTGGCTTTATGTGAGGCTCAGTATGCGGTGCATGGGTGGGATCCTTTGAACATGGTCTCCACTGGCAACACACTCCACAACAGTGAGGCATCTCCCAGGCGGGGTGAGCACTGAAAGACGCAAGCGGATGGGCTAGCTGGAACAGACGTGTACAGGGTGTTGGCGTTTCTTGCCTCCAGGGAGGAGGTGCTGGGAGTGCAGGGGCATTGTGGGAAGTGCTTTGTATTCATGTCTGTCAATGTGAAGGAAGCAATTTGCATATATTTGCATGTATATGTAACCACATGTAAATTGTGGCCCTCAGTATGTGCTGTGAGTATCATTGTAGCGCCCAGGGCTTCCAAAATTGAGTAGCCCTGGTATAGCATGTTAGAGGAAAGACACTCTTGTGTACCCTTGTGGAGACTACTTTTGTTTTTTCTTGTTTAGTTGTCATAATATAAAGTATCATTCCAGATTCAAAATACATAGTTGCATTTTGTAAGAAGGGAGCATAACAGAAAGGGGAGTGCTTTCATTTAGGAGAGTGGTTGTGAAATTAATGTGTTTCTACTACAGGAACAACAGGACAGTGCCTTCCTTTGTGTGAGAGATTTAAAATTATTCTGGAGAATATTGCTGTAAGAAATTACAAAATGACTTTTAAATAAACTTAAAATGAATGTGTAAATGGATGAGAAGGGATGAGAGTGGGAAAGAGAAAGAGCTCATACATTTTAAACGTTGGCTCTGTCAGGCATTGTTCCTCTGAGGAAAAAAATTAATGGTACTCAGTAACTCTGGGTCTGAAAAGGATCAACACCCACCGCAAACCAAAAAAACCTTTCAGGTATGAATTGCAGCACAAATTTGTCCTACAGGTTGAACCCCTGTGGTGCAGGGCTCTCTGGTCTAGGAAAATCCGTGGTCCAGACCAGAGAGCCCCAGCCACACAGGGAGCCCTGCTGGCTAGGGGCATGGAGCCCTGCTGCAGCCAGTGTGAGGCCATTGTGAAGAGAAGCCCTGCTAGCCAGAGTGGGGCCAGCAGCCGGAGGTAGGGAATCCTGCCAGCCAGGAGCATGGAGCCCTGCTGTGGCTGGAGTGAGACTGGAGAGAACACTGGCTGGAGTGCAGAGCCCCACTGGCTGGAGTTGGGTGGTGGCCTAGAGAGCCTGACTGGGGGCAAAGAACCCCGCTGGCCAGAGTGGTGCTGGCAGACTGTAGAGGAGCCCCACCAGGGGCAGCAGATCCCAACAAGCATGCTTGGAGTAGTGCAGTAGCCCCGACTGCAGCTAGGAGGGGAGCATTGGGAGAGCCCAAGGCCTGACCTCCTCGGGTCCGGCAAATTCCCAGCCCCCTGGGTGATCAAAAGGCATTCTTCTCCTAAGAGGGTACGTGCGTAGCACAAGTGTGATGCACTCTGTTCACTACGCAGTGGACAAGTAGCAGGATCACAGTCAGCATACTTGAGGCCAGTCTTGCTGGACCAAGTGAGATTCCATGTATGGTACCTTTTCTGTGGGTAAAGAACTTGAGATCCTGTGCTATAGGCTTTGTCTACGCTCATAGCAGCATGGAGGGTACATGTGGCTACACGCTGCAGTGAAAAGCAGGCTGCTTCCATACTCACTGTGGTGTTTAGCTACACACCACAGTGAAAAGGCTCTGGTAAGAAGGAAGCAACAGGGAAAGGCTCCTGCCAGTGGAAAGATGCTAGAGCCTTTCTGTGCTTCAGGAGGCTGCTGGAGTCATTTTCCACTGCCTCGCCCTGCTAGAGCCTTTCTCCTACTGCAAAGAAAGGCTCCATCAGCAGGGAGCTGCCAGAGCTTTTCTTCACAGCTTTTCCCCACCAAAGCTGTTCAGTGCTGCTGGAGCCCTTCTCTGCATAGGAAAGGCTCTGGTAGTGTGTCACCACACTGCTAAAAAATAGCAGTCTAGATGGAGGTGCTGCTTTGATGAGAGCCATGGTTCATGAAGGTTTTGCAATGTCTGTACTTGTCTAAGCAGGACCTTGCCATCTAGACTGCTATTTATATCTATGCTAGGTGGGGCATGCAGTGCATGTATTCCACACTCGGCTGTAAGTGCAGACATGGCCTGAAATTCAAGGCTTTCTGTGAGCACAGCAGTCAGTAAAATAACAGACTGACAAGAAGTACTTCCGCATGCCATAGTCAAACTAGATAGCATGCAGTTTACCGAGAGCACATATAGTTCCCATTAAGTAGCAAAAATAATTGCAGACGTTCTGGCTCTTGTTTAGATTAGGAATGAAGGACACAAACACAGTAGAGAGAAAGAAGGGGAAAAAAAGAGGCCTATGAAAGCAAAGGTGAATACAGTTAAACTAGAGAATGGGGATTTTAAGTCTGCCATAGGAGCAGGCCAAATAAATAGGTGGAGAGATGACATTGGTGTGTATGAGGGATGGCACACGGATTTAATGGCATGAGAAGCTGTATTATTTTGGTAGTTTGAGCTAGTTCAGTGATTTCTGTGAGCTGCTTCATGCTTCCCAGTGAAGTCAGAGAAAGTACGATAGGAATTTTTTAAAAAGAATATGTAATCCTAAAATACCCGTAAAAAGACCAGGAGTCTGAACAGAAATGATTAAGATAGACGCAGCAAAGGTGGGAGTGAGAAGGGATACTTCAAAGCGGCAGCGCTGCACAGCTGATCCTGGGCTCCGCTGTGCGGTGGCTGGGGCAGTGCCATGGATCCCGGGGTCAGCTAGGGACTCCCCAACTGATCCCAGGCTCCGTGCGGCATTTCAGCAGAACCCAGGATCAGCAGCAGGCTGTCCTAATGAGGCTGGCTTTGTAGGAGTGCCCTAAGGAAAACAGTCCTAAAGGAAGGATTCAGATCTCAGGGGAAAACACCACATACAAATGGCTGTGTACATAGATAGTAAGTTTCAGCAGCGGCTGAATCTGGACGCCAGTTCCGACTTACATACAGATTCAACTTAAGAACAAACCTACAGTCCCTATCTTGTATGTAACCCGGGGACTGCCTGTAAAGTGACAGTGTAACTGTTAAAACAGTGTTAGAGAAGATACAGGAATATCAGACTATGTGTTTGTTTTTGTAATTGCAAGTGAGCTTTTATTGAGCTTTAACACTGGTTCTAATCAGGTTAGCATTCAGTACATCAAAGATAAACAGTGGCTATTGTTAATAATTCAAATGATACTTGTTTTTACTACCAGTTCATTGATCACATTTGTACTATATATTTGAGAGAGTTTATGCATCTGTCTGTCTATGTGTCTGTCCATCTGGGAGTCTGTTTGTTCAAGAATTCCTCCTACAGTAAGATCTAGGACCACCAAATTTGGTATGCAGTTTCCTTGCTGGGGGGGAAGGGACCTTGAGCCTCAGGGGCCAGATCCAGGCAAGCCAGAGGTCGCATCTGGCCACCGGACCTGAGGTTCCCCACCCTTGTTCTAACCATTAGGTAACAGTTCTGGTGTTCATATTTCAAAATCATTAAGTCCCAAGTGTCTAAATCTATATCATGCTCTGTAAGAGCCAGTTTCTGACACTTATTCATGTTGGCCCTAATCCAGAAAAGCACTTAGACTTGAATCATTTGCTGGGTCAGGACCATGTAATAGTTCTTCACGGGTTGTATTGATGTAAATCAAGGTGACTTAAATAGGTAATTTAAATAATGAAAGTCTTCATTTAAATAATTGATTTTAATCAACTTTTCTATTTATACTGTAGCTGTTTTCTAAGGTGCATTTTCATTGGTTGATACCACCATTATTTCATTCTGATTTATAACTAACAGGAGCCTTTACGCTAGGTTTGGTACACTTTTGCTACCCAGAAAGATGCAGTATAACTATACACGTTCAAATATTGATTAATATTTTCTGATTCTTAACAATTGTATATTTTAGCATGCTGGACAATTGTAAATTATTTATTTATTTATTGCCTCAGTAGCTGTGTCAGGCTCCTTTAGGTTGATAATTGGGATTTAATTAAACACAATATATCGTATTTATTTTTATTACATAATACTGCACCTAGTAGCACAGCCTATGGGTTCCTCACTGGCTCAGACAATTATCATGGTATGTGACCTGTTGTCAAGCTTTGTAAAAATAGCACCACAAAAATTAGATGTTTTCCCCTGCATTCTTGTCTCCACATAGGAAAGCAACCATTAGCTCAAGGTTTTTGATAGGGGCTCATATAGTCAGCATTTTTATTTTAATTTATATATCTTTAAGAGACTAATAAGTTAAGTTATTTTTGTATTAAATTAGGTTTTCATTTTAAACTATTTTTTTAAATAAAGCAAATTTAAATAACGGAATAAAAATCAGTGCATTTTCTTTTTAAAAAATTATCCATTGTTGTTCCTCGCTGTGCAAGTAGTCCCACGAGTATCATTAGGACTACTTGACCACGGGTGTGAAAATCTGTTTTAAGTGGAATTAGGTTGGCTAGAAGTATAATCTCATGCTGTGCTCTATTTTTCCTCTATTTCATAAATTTTAAAGTTTATATCACATTTGATAAATATCTTCATAATCTATTTAAAACACTGCTGGTGGAGGGATTCACTTGCTTTGTTAATATTCTCACAATAGGCTAAAAAGACAATGTTAATTTAAAAATTACAGTTTTGTCTAGATGTTCTCGCTTTACAATGTTTCGCATAACACCTAAGATTATTGTAACTGACAAAGATTAGAGTAAAATGGATTTACTTTGTGCAATAGAAAGTCAATTTTATGCAAGTCAGTTTCAAAATCTGTTCTGTTAATTCTTTTGTGCTCTTGTATGTGGGGTAGATAAACACTTAAAAATAAGAAAATGTAAATGTAACATTAACATGGCAAAAAAGTTAGCAGGGGATTTGTGGGGAGGTATAGAACCTGAACCTACTTCATACAGGAGGGGGAAATCTTCATACTCTAAAATAAATAGCATTTTATGTAACAGTCTGCAAAAAAAATTAAATACATTATTTCACATAAAATCTCATACAGGTTTTACAAGATTCATGTTCCATAATATATTAACAGCTGATTATAGAGATGGAAGAGAACTTTTTCCTGCTCTCTGATTTTTCTGGGTGTTTTGTGGGAGATAAGAATACTGCTCTGGACCTCCATGTGCTGGCCATTTAAGGTCTTTGGCTTTCTGTGTTTCTTAGAAGGGGCTCAGTTTGTAAAATCTTGACCTGACCTTTGAATCATAGTGGTTTCTAATTTTCACCTAAACACTCTCTTAGTTTTACATTGGACTTACCTGCGGTATTCCCTTTAATTTTTCCTGCCCCTAAGTGGAATGAATTTAGTTATGTGTGCCTATGTCAGACATATTGGTGAACATAACAAAATTCATGTGGTGGGAGTAGGATCAAGGGTTCTGAGTATGGAAGGGGGCTCAGCCCTGGGGTAGCGGGTTGGAGTGCAGGGATGTGAGGGCTCTGGTTGGGAATGCAAGTTCTCGAGTGGGGCCGAGGATGAGGGCTCAGGGCTCAGATGGAGGGTTGGGTGGCACCAGGGTGGGGGATGAAAGGTTTGAGGTGTAGGATGTAGCTCTGAGTTGGGGGCGGGGCCCGTGGTGTGGCGGGGGTGTTGAGGCTTAAACCTGCCTGGGCAGTGGTGGCTCGATTCGTGGGATACAGGAGATGAGGCTACATGGTGTGCAGTGCCCTGTTGGTCCCCCTGCCTAAGAGCTGGACCTTTTGTTCTGGCAGCTTCCTCTCTGGCCCCAGCATGGAGCTGCCATGACCAGGGTCCAAGGGGCCGGGCCCGTGAGTCCCAACGCACAATGTTGCAGCCTTGAGCCCTGCGCCAGTGCTTAATGGGAAGCTGCACTGCTGCACAGCACAGCAAAAGGAACTTAGCTTATTAGTAAATCTTTTGAGAATGCTGAAAAAATGTAAATATGTACAATAACATCACGTAGGTTTTAGTTATGTGCGGTTGTGATTGGCTTGTGAAATTGAATTGCTTTTGTGTTGCACCTCTTCTTAATATTTCCCTTGTGCTTCTGGTAGTTCTGTAATATTTTACATCCACTGCATCTTGTAACTCTGAGGCACCTTATCCATGTTAAGGGTGTGATGCCTGCAGATCACGTTATCATTTTAAATATCTATTGTTACATTGAGAAGAAGCTAACTCCTTGGGGAGATCAGATAATTATAGCCTCAGATGACCAAGGTACATAAGTGCATGCATAGCTTTAAATACACAAGTGTCTCACTGGTGTGAGACTGCTCAGGTATTCAAAGTTAGGCATTTGCTTGGCTACCTTGCTAAATCAGGGGCTGTATGAGCAGCAGAAGCCAAGAGTATTGCAAATCTGTACGACTATGACTAATGCCAGACATTGGCTAGGAGAGATGCCAAATTGCAAGAGACTGGAGTTAGCACAAAAATCAAATGGCACAGATTAACGATGCATTCTAATGGGAGGGGAGCTCAGGGGGGATAGGGCAGGGGTTCTCCAATTTCATTGCACCACCATGACCCCCTTCTAACAACAAAAAAATCCTACACGATTCCAGGTGGAGAGACCAATGTCTGAGCCCACACAAGCCATCTTAGCCGCACTACCTAAGGGGGGAGGGCAGAACCCAAGGGCTTCAGCCCTAGACAAGGGGGCCTGTTACCCGAGCCATTCAGGACGGAAGCCCTTGGGCTTCTGCTGTTGCCCCGGGATGGGGGGTGGTTAGGCTTTGTCCCCTTGCTGCAGCTAGGTTAAGCCAGCCCTGGCAACCTCATTAAAATGGGGTTTTTGTCCCATTTTGAGACCCTAGCCCACAGTTTGAGAACCACTAGGACAGGACTTATGCTATAGAATCACATTGATTGATGCCACAGTGATACTGATAAATTGAGGGAAATGATTTCCAATTCCTACGAGTTCCAACTGCTTAAAACTTCTGGTTGCTCCACACAGCAGCAAAACACAACCCACCCTCCTGTAGCCACTTCTGTAGAATGTATGGCACAAGTCTGCAAGACAGAAACTGTGCTGATATTGATCGTGTGCATCTCTCTGGCTGTGACTGATATAAGGCTATAGTATCAGGCTACTGAATCAGATGAAGAAACTTTTTAGAGTCTTACTAGAAATGCTGTGGCAGCATCCTGGTATCTGACACACATTTTTGTTTAGTATTTGCATCCAAATAACAAGTCTAAGAAAAGTACACATACAGTAGGCTGCTTTGTACAATGTTGTAGCTCAACAGTGTGGATTTTAGTCACTTATTAACTGCTTGGAACTGTCAAATGGCTGCTCTGGCAAGACTGATTTTCAGTGAGTGACCTCTCTGCTGTGATTAGTCTTCTGTAAGAAGGACGTATTGCAGACAGTAGTGTGGATGGGGTGGGGTTCTTTGTGGCTCCCTGACTAGATCACACTGGAATGGTGAACGGAAATGTATTTTTAATAGGATATTGGTGAGATCCATGCTGTTTGTCCCACACAACCAATATCCTCATGTTTTTATATATGAAACGTACTAAAATGCATTATTTTCTCATTCCATTTGTATGTGCATGGTAAGCATAGACCCAAAGGGTCTCCATCAGTCTCACACATGCACCATGAGGGAATACAGCACATGATCTTTGGCTCCTCTTACTCAGCAAATAAAATGATCACTGACACATGATGGCATCCAGCAGAGGGCAGTGATACATTATTATGCACATAATACCAGCCCCTGATAATTTCTGTTTAGCCAAGACTGCTGCTGCTGTTACTCATTATTTTAAATTGCAGTGGCTTGTTAAGAGCAGTGGAACTACAGTTTGTGATTCAGACATCCATTAATCATTTTAACCAGTCTCTTGGTGCAACAGTAAAATATCTTAACAGTTTGCATGGTAAGGGAATGTTCAAAAGTAAAGGTTTCACACCTGGAAAAAATCCTCAGTTCTGCTACTGAAAAATCCTCAGTTCTTTTTAAATGAAACTGAAGGCTGAAGAGACCACCATTTATCTGTTTGCACTGTTGCCCCTGGTAATGATTACAATTGATGTCTGAGCGTGTTTCACTAGTTGTACTTGCTGTAAGAATGCAGGAACCTAAAACTGTTGGAAAAGTTAAAGGAGTCAAGAAATGCTCAGAATACAGAATGAGATGCAAATGTACCTTGCATCTGATAACATTTACTTTGATTATATGTGGAAATGTGCTCCATTTCAAAATTCTGTGAGAGTGGAAAATATCTCTTGGGTCTGATTTTATTTTTTTAAAGGTGGGGGAAAGAAAGAGATGGTACTAGAGATCTGGAGCAATGTGTGAGGTCACATGGGGGCATTGTGCCCCAAATGCTGTGGGTGGAAGGAGAAAGGGGCTAGCCAGCAACCAGGGAGGGGAGCTTTTGGGGGGTGGAGCTAGTGCCCACATTAGAAATTAGGGTCCATTCCCCCCTCCTTTATTAAAGAAAAGTAAATGCATGGGATATATGGGACATGTTTAAGTACAGTTTTGTTTGCTGAGTTGTGATTAATATTGTGATATCTTTGACTTCAGGTAATGCACAAGTCATTTCAGGAGGACAAGTAGAATATAAAATTTTGTCTGGCATTCGCTACATGTGGTGGTACCATTTAATTGGCCTTATCTGGACTAGTGAATTCATCTTGGCTTGTCAGCAAATGACAATTGCTGGAGTAGTGGTTACGTGCTATTTCAACAGGTATGTTCAAAATTTATCTCCTTATATATTTAGTGTTTTCTTAGCCTTTACTCTTTTTTAGATAAACTATTATAAAATACCTTAGATTTATATTTAGACTAGTATCTTGGGAACTAAATTAATTTAAGAATGCGAAACTAGAAAGTTAAGGTGTTCATTGCATTGAATGAGCTCTCATGTGCAAGCCAGCACAACTCCTCTGACAAAACGGAAGTTAAATTTTAACCTTGCCCCAGTAAATGTTGGTAGCTCTAAGTAAAGGTGTAGCAGATTGCCCCAGAGTAATTCAAAAGTACATGTTGAACCTCTCTACTCCAGAACTTTCTGGTCTGGCAACATTCATGGTCTGGAATAATTTTAGTTAGCCAGACGTCCACTTATCATTGGTTTGATCAAGTTTCTGGCAGTTTGTTTATAGCCACCAGTACTGGCTCTCAGTATTCTGTGTTATTTAGCTCTAATTTACCTGTAAATGTCTTCTAAGAGCCCAGTAAGAAGTGGAAGTTTTGGTAATGCTGCTAGACAATATCAACCTCCCTTGGTTTGGCAAATTCTCTGGTTCAGCACCAATTAGGTCCGGAAGGTGCTGGATTAGAGAGGTTCAACCTGTAGTGTGATTTCATCTCCTTTCCGTCCTTCCACTGGGCTTTTCATCTCCTATTACTGAATAATCCTCTAGAAGTTTGCTGTAAAAACTATTGAGCATCTTTTGTCATGCAACGCAAATATTTTTACTTGAAGGGTTGTTAAAGGCTCACTATTAAGATTTTAAAAAATATATTCTAAGCCAGTTTATTTGATTTTTGAGTTACCAAGACACCACCTTAGCTAGATGGGCAGGAATTGTGAAAATCTCATTTACTTCTTACTGTTTATCGTGTTTTGCTTGTTACACTCCCTTCATTTTAGATAGTGAAATAAGACAGGTTTCATGCAGTAAATCAATGCTGTTTTTGTTTTGATTGCCAACACTGTACAGGAATGTTTTGATTTGCTAACCACATTGTTGTGTTTCCTCTGGTCCATACCATGCAAATATGGTAACACGTGTTCTGTTCTGTGAAAGTCTGAAATTTCGAAAAAATTCTTTTTCTATAATGGAATAAAAAAGTGCGTGTATAGATACAAACGTAGAAAAGCTGCATGGCCTTTTGTGGGGGTGTCTCCTTTGTGGCAATTGCCACGTAAAGAGCCTGGAAGCACAAAAGCCCACCTGGCCGGCTGCCATAGATCTGGGGGCGTAGGCTATTTGGGAGGTGGGACTTCCAGGGTATCCTACTCTTAGACTGACAGGGAGCTGTCAGGAAACCAGCATGGTGTTGATTGGAATTTCTCCAAATCAAAACAGTCTCACAGAATGTTTTGATTTTAACAAATCAGCAGGTTTTAGATAGTAAAGTGTTCTTTTGGAAAACTCTATTCTCTCTTCTGACAGGAAAACCAGTTTAGAAAAATATCCCTATAGTGGACAAGGGTCTAAACATTTTCCACTGTTATTAATACAGGTTCTACTCCATTGGTGGTTGCAATGTTGGGAGCCCTGCAGCCCCCTTTTTAAGCAGTGTTATTTGTCTCTGCTTAAAGCAAGGCTAATCAACACGGCATTTAAAACACTTGTCAGAAGTGCATCTACTCTAGTGCTCTCAATAGGGGTGAGATTGAACTGGTGGTAATGACAGAGGAATGTTTTAAAATATTCCTGGTATAGAGAGAATCTAAAATGCCCATTTTCTATTTTTCTATCAAAACCCGCTGATTTGGGAGAGGATCAATATGCTGGCATAACCTGTTACCATTTCACCCACTGTGTCAGGACCAGAGGTTCATATTTCATACATTAATCTCCTTGCTCTCACTGGGATCAACACAAGTAACCACTGCCCCTGCAGAGCTGTAAGTAGTTCAGTGGCCCTTCACTCCTGAGGGTATAGCATAGTGTCCAATCCTGTAAAAGAAGTGCTCTGTCATCAGAATCTGAATTTCTCCGTCTTAAACAATGAATAGTTATACTAGAGCAGTGGTTCTCAATCAGGGATATGCGTACCCTGGAACTGTGGAGAGGTCCTTCAGAGGGTACATCAACTCAGCTAGATATTTGCCTAGTTTTACAACAGGATACAGGAAAAAAGGACTAGTGAAGTCAGCTCAAACTAAAATTTCATGCAGACAATTGTGTGTTTATACTTCTCTATATTCTATACTTTGAAATGTAAGAATATATATATTCCAATTGATTTATATGGTAAAATGAGAAAGTAAGCATGTTTTCAGTAGCACTGTGCTGTGACACTTTTGTATTACATTCCACAAAATCAGATCTAACTTGGGGTTTTCAAGACAAATAAGACTCCTTTAAGGGGTACATAATCTAGAAAGGATGAGAACAACTATACTAGAGGGCCAAATCATGAGACTTTTTTACTCCATTGATGTCATTGGGAGTTTGCCTGAATAAGGCACTAAAATTTAACACATTGTTTTAAGAAGTGAGGGGAGAGAGAGTCACATTTCACAGGAGTGTCTGTCCCAGTGTATTCTCTGATTTGGCACTTATACTGAAGCTCACAGTCATTAGATTATCTATCATTAATTGTTGAGTATGGGCAGTTCGTGTGCAGGGCTGCATAAATCACTGATCCAGATACTATGATGCTCCAAGCTATATGTGGAGTACTTCAGGGGTGAGACAGGAAAAGATGACGTTAAGCTGCTTTCATATACTACATACACACCTTACCTGTAGAACCCAGAAAATCTGTAGCTTCTTGCTTTATTTCTACAGACATCTATAGATCACATTTTCAGCTCAAATTCTGTGTGCACACAGGGCTCTACTGATCTTGGGGCTGGTAAACTTGTTTCTGGTGTAAAATATATTGCAGCCCCAGAGCTGTTGTATTTTGCACTGCTTTCAGCAGCCCGAAGGACTATTCTGGAAGTGAGAAGGCATGGAAGCAACCTGGCCATTCCGTCTACATCCAGGGCTGGAAAGACAGTATTGAAGCTGCTGGGCTGGCTCGCTATCCCCTCAGGATTAGGTAACTAATCTTCGAGAGACCAGACCCATCTGCTTTCCAGCTACTTTACACCACCAGTGTGAGGTTCAGGATTGAACTCTTGGAGTAGACATGTTCTGTGTTCTGAATTCCATTGAAATCTTTCTCCTCCCATGTATTCCATTTGCTTGGCAGCTGACACCCATTGTAGCGAGGGAGTTGTGCATGGAAAGGGAAATGCTATGTAGATGTATTTAATGGTGGTGATCCCTCTTCCTTGATCTGTCTTCACTGTTTTGGTTTATCTACTTATCTGTAAAGTAATGGGGCTGGATGGTGGAGTAGGAGTATTACTGACATAAAGGGCAGGAGGGCCATGAACCATCTTAGTTCTTATTGACAACAGTGAATTTGTCACCAGGAATCTGCAATTTAATGTTCTGTGATGCAGCTTCATAAATGCTTGTCACGAGCTTTTTTTATGATATCCCATGGAGAGGTTTACCTTCTAGCTAGTGAATAGCTGCAGGAAATGGGACAGCCTTTCCCTGAGGAAACCTGCTTTCTCAGTACACACAACAACCATTAGGCACTTCACAGCCACCGTCCAGAAGCGGAATTAAAAATGGGAGGGCAGAGAGTTGTTTCAGCTGGATTAGCTTTAGTGGTGACATCTGTTTGACCTGAAATAATAATACTGAAACCACACTTTGCTTTCTTTTATTTCAGATAAAATATAAATTCCCAAGAGGCTTTATTAATTTAATAAAAAATGGTTTATGCAATGGCTATTCTTTTATAACTTTCAAAAAAAGATGACTTTCCTGACAGCCCGTTTTTATGGAGAAAGATCTTTGTGCAAATCTTGTTAGCGAGATTTTTTTTTTGTATAAGGATTTATTGTCATCTTGCTGTGTTGAGGGGTTAAGTGCACAGCTGCTGCCTCCTTGCTGTGATCAGACATTGATTTAAAGAAAGAGGTTTTGTGGATGTGACTACTTAACCAACATGATTAACAGAAGGCCCAATTATACAAATGCTCAAGTATGTTAAATAACTGTACTCCTAAGTAGTCCCAAATTAGTCTTGTGAGTAACTTTATCATATGCTTAGGCATTTGTAGGATCGGAGCCCTGAGCCTCCAAACACATTTATGCTTAAAATTAAGAGTGTGTTTAAATGTTTTAGGACTTGGGCTATAGGATTTGATTCTAAGACTGTTTCTATGCCTGACTGGCCAGTGCCAGTCAAATTGGACTGCAGGACTGTTTCATTGCTGTGTAGATTTCTGAGCTCGGGCTGGAACGTGGGTTCAGTATTTTTCTGTATTAATCAAGACATTCACAGACAATACAACAAAAATATTGTAAGACAATTCAAACTAAAGCCTCAGTCCCACAATAAGATCTGTGTCCATTTGGAGCAATTTTGAGCCCTTCAGCGGGCTTCATATATGTACAAAGGCCACCTGTGCAGAGCTTATTGGTAGGATTTGGAGCTGTGGGTGTTTGGGATCCATAAAGATAAAATAACTGATTAAAGGCAAACCATATTTTGAGAGACAAACACCACTAGTGGGTTGTTTTTTTCTTAAGTTAGTCATGTTCTTAAAGTTAGTACTTTCTGCTTTGATCCAGGAAGGAAAATTCTTTGTTCAGTTTCCAGTATTCCTGGAACCATAATAGGTTGCTAGGTGTCCGGTATTGCCCCACTTACCCAGTCTCCTGGTTCTTCAAGGAAGCTGTCTCGTCCGAAGCAGGAAGACAAGATGGCCTTAACTCTTGGGGTCCTTTTCCCCCCCCCCCCTCCCCAACTTTGGTCTCCCCCCTTTTTTTTTCTCAACAATTTTTTTTCCCCTGGTGGTTTTTTTGGGGGTGGGAGTGGGAAGGGGTGTTTGGTATTTTTAGTTAAACCATCTGGCAACCCTAAACCATAATGAAATATTGTTAGAATATGAAAATTCTCAGTTAGACCAAGGAAGTTTGCAACAGCCTCCACATTTATAGGGATTTATGCAAATCAAACTTTACTTATTAATCCATATTGTTAAAGAATAATTTCCCTTCTCATCTTATCTTCAGCAGCAAATGGATTATTAACAGAGTTATCTTTCCCCTTCCAATATTTTCTAAACTTGGTTAATATTTTAACGTGCTGTTCTTCAATCTTTAATTTTCTCAGGTCTGATTTTAAGCCATCACAAATAGGAAAGAGCAGTAATACAGGGGTGAAATTATTAGGGTATCAATAAATATTTATTTCTAACATAAAAATGATTTTTTAAGAAAGTATGTCAAAATACTTGCTCTACATAAAAATCAGCATTCCTCTAGCTGCTCCCCTCGTCTTAAGACCAAAACTATTGCATACTAGCAACCGCTTTGCTGGTATTTCCTATTTAAAATAATGTGGTGCACAGGCATATATAAATATGACTTTATAGCTAGCAAGGAGTTATTGCTATGAAAGGACTGCAGTGATACATTCAGGAGTACTGTATTGCAGCACTGTGATAACTATCTTGACTTAGCTGTGTAAGGTTTAAATGTCTGCAGTGGTGAAGATTTAATAAAAATGTGTTTGCAGACCTTTTCAAACTCCACCCAGCTGTGCTCTCACCCACACACATACACCCTTTTTATGCTTAGTTTTTTCTGTAGACTATTCTTTTTTAAAAGCAATAAATGAATCCTTCAAAAGTTCTTATGAAGAGTGAATATTTTAGTTATGACTTAGGGTCTGATCCTTAATTCCTTACTCAATGTATTTTTGCTTGAGTAAATAATATATAGGATTGAGCCTATAATTTAGGGTTTGCTAGTAAAAGGGTCTCCTACCTTTTATGCTAGTGTGACCACAGGGTATAGTAACCCGTGTATATGAAGTCCTCAAAAACATTTTATGCTGATTTATTGTGCTGAGAAGACTGATTTCAGTCATTTATTTTATTTTTTTTTAGTTCTTTTCCTGGTTTTGGAGAGTTAATTAGTATAAATTCTTGAGAGTTGCCATGCCATTTATTGTAAATTATTCATATTAAAGTGATCTTTAAAATGTGTTGTCAAAATTCCACATACAGGATTTTTTTCTACCGTATTTTCTGGCGTATAAGACGACTTTTTATACTAAAAAACATCCCCCCAAAATCGGGGGTCGTCTTATACGCCGGGTATAAACATACTGTAACTTCGGCTACATACAGAACGTCCCTGTGCTGATACTGTATGTACCGCGCTGAGCCAATCACGGCAAGCAGTGTCATCTCTTAATGCATACAAAGCCTGCTCGGATTGGCTGAGTCAGAGAGGCGGGCTATTACCACCTTTGCCAATCCGAGCAGGCTTTGTATGCATTAAGAGATGACACTGCTTGCCGTGATTGGCTCAGCGCGGTACATACAGTATCAGCACAGGGACGTTCTGTATGTAGCCGAAGTTACAGTATGTTTATACCCGGCGTATAAGACGACCCCCGATTTTGGGGGGATGTTTTTTAGTATAAAAAGTCGTCTTATACGCCAGAAAATACGGTAGAAAAAAATCCTGTATGTGGAATTTTGACAACACTTATAAGACAAAATATGGGGTTAATTTTCATATGTAGAATTGGATGCTAGAATATGTATGTTATTACCTCAAAGCACCATAGCTAAAATGCAATGAGTAGCTCAGATAATATTTTAAACACAGTGCACCAAATTCTGCTCTGATGTACTCCATTGTAAATCTGAAACAAACCTGTTGGCTGCAATATAATTCTTCAGGAGTTAAATCAGCAAAAATTGAAAGCAGAATTGGCCCAATCATTATAGTGGCACTAGAGAGTAAACCTTAATTTTTTACATGTACAATCTTGCCAGACTGCTTATTTATTTTAGTTTAACATTGTCTCAGAACAAGTGGACACAGTCCTGCAGACTGACCTCCTATTGTAACAACATAAAATAAGGAGCTTCAGAGGGGTAGCCGAGTTAGTCTGTAACAAGAAAAACTTTAAAAACAACAAATAGTCTAGTAGCACCTTAAAGACTAACAAAACATAGATGGTGTGCTTTCGTGGGCACAACCCAGTGCAGAGAGGTTAGGAAGATGACAGAAGCAGTATGGAAGCATTCAAAGGACTTATAATTATCTTATGTTATTTGTTTACTTATAACATTTCCCTCCCACCTGCATGGCCAGTTTTCCTGTTGTGATATCTGTGCACATATATCTTCATTTGTTTTTCTTCATTTGGATTTAGGGCTTGATCCAGCTCCCAAATAAAGTCAATCAAAGTTGGAGTTATAGCAAGTCCTAAAAGAGATACCAGATTATTCATAGATATGTAGGGCTAAAAGGGACACTGAGAAGTCTAGTCCTCTAAGCTGAGTCAGTACCAAATAAATCTAGACTATCCGTGACAGGTGTTTGTCCAGCCTGTTCTTTAAAATGTACAATGATGGGGATTCCACAACCTCCCTTGGGAGCCTGTTTCAGATTTTGACTACCGTTATCATTAGAAAAAAATCCCTAAACAAAATCTCCCTTGATGTACATTAAGCCCACTACTTTGTATGTTAATTTCAGTGGACATGATGAACAGTTGATCCCCATCCTTGTTATAATAGCCCTTTACATACTGAATACTGTTATCAGTCTTCTTTTCTCAAGACTGAACATGCTTAGATTTTCAACATTTCCTCAGAGATCACATTTTCTAAAGAATTTTTTTTTACTTTATTTTGGACTTTCTACAAATTGTCCAAATCATTCCTGAAACATGACACTCAGAATTGAACACAGTTCTCCAACTTAGGCCTCACCAGTGCTCACCAGAGCAAGACAGTTATTTCATGTGACTTTTATATGACGTTCCTGTTAATACACCATAGAATATTAGCTACCTCCTTATCACCTAATTGATCTGTGGTAACTCCTAGATCATTTTCAGCACTACTACAATATAGCCTGTTATTTCTTATTTTGTATTTGTGCATTTGATTTTTTTCCTTCATAAGGAGTAGTATTTTCTACTTATCTTTATTAAATTTCATCTTGTTGATTTCAGAGCAGTTCTCCAATTTTCCATGGTGTTTTTGTTTTGTTTTGCTTTTGTTTCTAATCTCTTCTTCCAATATGCTTTCAATCCCTCCCACCTTGGTGTCATCTGCAGAATTTATAAGCATACCCTCTACTCTATTATCCATGTTATTCATGAAAATATTCAGTAGCTACAGACTGAGGGCTGACCTCCATGGGATTCTATTAATTAATACTTGCATTACAAGAGACTGGAACAATAAAAATATTACTTGTTACTTGCTTGTTAAATAGCAGTAGAATTAGCTGTGTTTCCATTTCTGTAACATTTTTAACATGCTGTTTGTTTTTTCCCATAGAAATAAGAGTAGCCTGCCACGACACTTGATCCTCTCTTGCATATCAGTTCTTTTTTGCTATCATCAAGGAACAGTTGTAAAAGGCTCATTTTTAATCTCAGTAGTGAGAATTCCAAGAATTATTTTTATGTCCCTTTATGATGCCCTAAAAGAAAAGGTGGGTACATTCTTGTGTAAAACCGTGGTACAGTGGGTAAGGAGTGAAGTTCAGGAAAGATATGTACTGAAAAACTGAACTCTGTGTAAGAAATAGAAATATGATCCATAGTTTGTTTTATTCTGGTTTCTTCATGAAATAGTTTCTTGTATGTATTTACTACTTTTCCTCCTGAGATCACATTTTTTAACTTCAGAAAAGAAAATCAAAGGTGATTTTGATTGACCATTTTAACTTTTTTTTTAACGTAAAATCTTATATGCGGAGGAAGGCGCATGCTAGAGTTGGCAAAATGATTTTTTAAAACTCTCGCATCATAGTCATTTAAAAAGAAATACAGCTTACCAAGAATGATTTATTTTCAGCATGAAAGCTCTCCTTTTTGGGCTCTTTCACCTGCCTTATGATATGAGCCACAAGAGTATGTAAACAGAATAGGTAAAATAAGAACTAGCCCACAGTCTAGTCCAGAATTCCAGCATATCTTTCAACTACTTTTGGTCATTTCTGGAAATCTCATGGGAGGAGCTGCTTCTCATGAGATGTCCAGTTCTGTTTCTAAATCAGCAGTTTGTAATAAGCTAGAGAATCTGTGTGGTGTTCCACTAACATCACTGGGGGTCCATATGAGTACAGAAATCCATTTGCAGAATGACTTGATGTTAGATGTGCTGAGCACTCATAACATTCTCTGAAGTCAGCAGAAGTTGTGAGTGTTCAGTACTTCTGAAAATCAAGAGCTTTGGGACTCAATTGAGTCCATGCTAATGGACTCAGTTGTGATATGGGCTGGTGGGGACTCTACCTACTTAATAATCACTGAAGGTGCTAACAGCTCCCTGAGGGGTATCCTTCCTGTTTTAGGAATCTATCTATTGACTTTGATTTTTATCTGCTTAGGTTTAAGTACCCATTCTCCAGATACTTAATGATGCTTTCTCTCCCCCCCCCCCTTACCCTCTTCTATTTATTTCCTATCCCTAACTCATAACTCTGGTCATCTGAAAAAGTGGGCTGTGCCCACGAGAGCTCATACCACCATCTACAAGTTTTGTTAGTCTGTAAAGTGCTACCAGACCATTTGTTGTTGTTTTTTCTGAAAATCAAGTTACTCTTATTAAAATGATTGAACTTGGATGTAGTTTCTTAACTTTAGGAACCTATTCGTGGAAGATTTTGCCCATAAACCATTGATGTTGGCTTGCCTTTCACTAATAGATATGATAGGATAAGAAGGGCTTTGTTAATAGGAAGAATATGTTTTATTTTCTACTTGTGAAGGAGTTCATCATACCACAAGCATATAAGACTATTCACTGGAATCTGGTAAAAGTCACAAATAATATATAAGAACAAATAAGAAATTACTGATTAATCAGAAGATTAACCAGAAACTTTAGCGTCTGCTGCTTTTGTTGTACATCTGAAATAGATGCTAGAAATTCTGGATACCTTTTGAATGGGCCAATATTCTTTAGCAAGGAGGGTTTCTTTGTACCTTAGGCTTATCCTCCATGTCCTGTTCTTCTTTTACCTTTCCTGGCCCTGGTGCACAGCGTCCAGCCTTCCAGCTTAGAAGGATTTGACAGAACTGAAGTAAGGCAGTGCTGCTCCTAACAGGCTGTAGGGCACCTGCTAACAATGGGCTAGACTGTTCCCCCCCCAATTCATGGAGGAGACTCTCCACACAGTGATAACACATCTCTATATAGAAGGCGCAAGTGGTTCTGGCACACCAGAATATAATCTACCATACACCTGGACCCTGTGAAGTCCCGTCCACAAAGTACAAGAGCGCAAAAGGTGGCAGAGGTTGGGAAGTGGGCAGGCTGGATAGGATGCAAATCTGCCATCTTGTGGCTTCCCAGGATTTGCCCAGGCTGTATTACCTTTTCCACAGATGTCTCCCTTCCCTCTGGAAATGAGATCCTTGGCTCCACCGCAGCTATGCTGTCTGGGAGAGGGTGGGTACACTTTATAGGCCTGAGCATCACATAGGAGGCCCTGGAGTTTGATGGATTTATAGAAGAACATCATGGCCTTTTCCACAAGGGAGCCCCCTCCCTTCCTTTTGATAGAATTACATGGTGGAATTGTGGCATACAGAGTTTCCTTCTAAGGGGTTAATGTGGAAAGGGATGAATATTGTCCATTGTGAAAAAATTAGCATGTTGCTTTTATAATAAATACCGTTCTCCAGCGAGACATGGAAAAGTTTTGTCTTTCAGCTGAATTCAGAGTATTATTCTTTGGTGACATTTAAAAATATATTGAATACTGGAAAATTTGCAAAGATATTAAACTCCAGACTCAAAAAATTTCACCTTCACTGCTTCCATAAAATGCCACAGCTATGTATGTGACCTGAAGATTTCACAGAGCCATTGTAAGTGCTTAACTTTAAAAGAAAAGAAAAACTTCACACAAACCTTTCTGATCCCTAAAGAAAAAGGATTAAAAAAGGCTTTTGATCAAATATCATTAAATGGAATTTGACTTTAAATACCATGTGGGGAAAATAGCCATGCCACAGTGTAGGATTTCATAATTAAATTCTGAAGTACTTTGTAGAATTAACAACTCTGGTTTTCAAGGTAATGGCAGATGCTTTTCCCTATTTTTTATGTTTAATATAAACATTTATATTTATTATAAAGATGATGTTTAATTCATCAAAGTCTTTGTATGACTTTGATGAATTAAACATCAAATTAAACTGTTTCCTGAAAGGAATGATCACATTGAGAATTTAAGTCTGCTGTTTTCATCTTTTCCAATAAAATTAAAATACTCTGTAAATATGTTAATTTAGCAGCAGCTGGGAGCGAGCTTACCTTCACAGATAGACAACACATGCGCTAGCTTCATTTGAGAGAGTGTCTAAAAATAGCGCTGTGGTTTTGGTGGCATTGAGTGGTGGCTCAGGCTAACCACTAGAGTACATACCCAAGGGATCAGGCAGGTTTGTACATTTGTGGGTAGCCTGAGTGAGTGCCTGAGCCACTATTGTCACTGCTATTTTTAGCACACTAACTTAAGCAGAGTTAGCAGATCTGTCTACTCATGCTAGGAAGCATGCTCTCAGCTGATATGTAGACATTTCCTTTGTGTGTGTAGACATTTCCTTTGCGTGTGCCTACGCACATTTGTATACATCTCTTTAGTCTTTTTATTTCTGCCGGATAGGATTCCAGTTGTTTCAAAAACTTGAAAAATAGCCCAAAATAAAACTAACATTGGTATGAATTACAACAAAAATACATACTCTATATATAATATTTGTATTTATTATTATTATTTTTTATTTTTAGATACTCTGTTGGTCACTGAGGGGTTACTGATTTGCCTGCATGCTTTGTGCTCCACGCAGCTGTTAGCAACCAAAGCTGCTTACAGCAGTTATTTTCCTTCCAGAGTAGTATCTTCCATGAAAAAGAAAAAAAAAGTTCACCTCATCAATCATTAATACTTTAGGGTCTGAATTAAAAACAATTCCCATAAGCAGGAAGGAAATCTCTGCTGTTTAAATGAACATTTTGTGAGAAGAACTACAGTGTCCTGTTAAGCAAGTTCATGTAAAATGTCAATATTATATAAAATCTGCATGCACTAACTAGTTACTTGATATCCTTGCAGGAGGGTGCATGTGCAAGATGCATGTTCAAATGCTGTTTCTGCTGCTTCTGGTGCCTAGAAAGGTGCCTAAAATACTTTAACCAGGTACAGTACTTTATATCAAGTGTATACCTAAAGTACCCTATAAGCAAAGGTAGACTCAATATAGTGAACACTGTATACAAATGAATTATCCTGTGTCCTAGAACTCATTTCAGATTGAATCTTTGTCTGCATTGTATCTAGCTGTATTAATTCAAATATTCTTGAATATTGCCTACTGTATGAGAGAATCCTGTCATACATAGGCACACTTTTGGTGGGTGAAATCAGGAAGATTACTGTAGACATGCCAGAGGAGTGATAAAACTGTTTTAGTTCAAATTAATTGATTGCTGATTAACTTTAGTCAGCAAACACATTAGTCCATGCTAGTCTGAATGTATGTTTGTGAGGTGTCCAGACTGGTATGTACAAATTTTGACTTTTAAAAATGAATTTGTGTAGATGAACTGAAGATTGGTGTTGGCTGCTTTTCTCCATCTAGATCTGAGGACTTTAGTGGGTTGTTTCATTAACATATCCAGAGGTGCCTGTGGCAAAGAAAGATTATAAGCAGCTATAAGTAGCTGGGTGTGAAGAGTGGTAAAGCAAATCTGATAGTTTAGTTTGGAAATATCTTGTTAGAAAAACTATAGTGGGCCTTCCCCCTTCTTCAACAGTTAGAAAACCAGGTGGCTCTACGAGATAGATGTCAAGCTATTGAGATGCAGGCTGTCCATATGAAGGTTCAGTCAAGAAGCCTATTTGAAGATGATGTCCAGCTTTCCTGCTGGTTTGTGGACACTTTGGGGCTTATTATTTATTACTGTGATTGTGGGATAAACAGTACCTAGAAGTCTTATTCATTCAGTGTGGGGAGTTATTGTGCTAGGCACTATACAACAGAGCAAAATATATGGCCCCTTCCATGAATAGTTTAAAATACAATTTAGATGGGTAATTAACTGTCCACCCTGGGAGCTTCCACTAAAAGGAAAAAAACTCTCACTGGGGTTTTCTGATTTGTAGTATTATCATGTCTGGAATGTAAACCAAAATAGGCAACCACAAAATATAGTATTTTTCCAAGAACGATGACTTGAACTGTTATTTAATAAATCTCCTATGAGGTACCAGTTTTCAAATATTTGATTCCTGCTCTTTCCTTTCTGATCCTTTCTTCCATATTTTTCCCAACTACATCTCCATTCTTGTCTATACGTATTTCTTGTGTTTTTACAATATCCCCATATCATCTGTGATGGCACTGACATTCTTTTATGTATGGCAGGGATGGGCAATAATTGGATCTGAATGTTTGGCAAGCTGAATATTTAGCCCGCATGCATTATTTTGCTGTCCTTGATGTATGGTATTCTTTGGGGTTCTAGTTTCACTCCAGTTTTCTCTCATACTTCACATGCTACAGTTTTGAAGATTCCATTGGTCAGTACAAGTTGAGTTTTGATTACTCTTAAATCAGATTCTTATAGACCTGTTCTTTACTGTTTTAAAGTCTCTGCATAAGAGAAAATAGATGCTGAAGTAACTTAAAAGAAATAGCATGCTTCTTAGTCAAGTCCGCACTAAATTCTTGTTCAATAAAATCATTAGTTCCGTGGGATGAACTTTCCCAGCTTTCATTCTGGGATGGATCTTATGGTCACTGACTTGGTTAAGAGCCCTAGAGTTAGTTCGGACTCCAAGCATGTTATTTTCACCCTTCACCTTGGCTTCCTGCCCTTCAAAGAAGATAGCCAACATAAAAATATTTGCTTTCTCCAGCTGCTGTTGTATGTCATTTATGTGTGTTACAAGAATACCTAATTATTATAATGGTAGTTGCTGGGGTCAAAGGCTTGTGTTTTTTGTTCTTACTTTGTTAAAAGATTTCCTGTTGTTTTCCTTGCCCATTGTAGTAAAAAAATAGATCTCAGAAATAAAAATGAGGTTGTTTTTAAAATTCAAGATAATAACACTGGGTCTGTTGTTAAATAAACATTTGTTTGGGTATGTTATTGGCAAAAATGACTATGGCTTCAGCTTTGTACACCAGAGCAACATAGAAGATGGGAGAAGGTTAGAGAAGATAAGGTAACCTACAGAAGCGATAGCTGTATAAAACAGTAAGAGCTAGCACTATTATCCTGTGTAATGCACTAATCTGTTTGTCCTCCATGCCCTCGCAATATCAGGTGTATGTAGTTTTTTGGGAGGCAATTAGGCAAATAAGTATGAACCAGGCTTCAGGTTTGCAGAATCTGTGACTACGATTTTCAAAATTACATGCTCAATTTTAGGCACCTAAGTAAGTGACTTGATTTTTCAAAAGTTCTGAACATTCTAAATCTCATTGAAATCAGTGGAAGTTGCTGAGTGCTCAGCACTTCTGAAATCAAGGTCGCCTACCTAGTTCCTGAGTGTGGGCTTGGGTTTGAGCCTAACTTTAGGCACTTGTTTTCAAACATTTGGCCTCTATAGATATGTTTAAAACTTTTAAATATTTTTCAGATTTTTGTTTTTATAGAATAATTTTTATTGATTCTAGAGTTATTGTGTATACTGACATTTTCCATTTTGTGTTTGTTCTTTGTCCCAGTGTTGTTCATCAGTGATGAATATTCCCTTAACAAATACATCATTACATGGGAATTCTAAAAAGAAATCCATTGAGAACTCTGATAGGTTGGAAGAGATCACATGTTAAAAATATGATTACAAGTCCCTCGCCATCATTTCAGCATTGATATTCTCTTCTGCCTGCCTGCCTTTGTCATTCAGATTATTTAATTCCTCCTCAGATTCTGATTTCACAAACTAAGCAGGGTTGAATGGGTCAGAACCTGGATGCAAAATTTGCAGAGGAATAACAAGTGTCACAGGAAGTAATGCTGATGATTTAGACTGTAGCGCTTTTACCTGTGAGATAGTATTAACATAGTGGCACATTGTGTTGTCAGAGGGCAGCTGGATATGCTATTTTTCAGATAAGATTTTAATGTGGGCTCTGATCGACTTCTGCATCGCCTTCAGGTAGGATATGTCTACACTGCAGAGCGATTTTGGGAGATATCATGGTAACCCTCATTCCACGAAGGTTAAGGGGAATTTTAGAATAGTGAGTTATTTTGAAATGTGCCGCTGTGTAGACCGCGCCAAATTATGAAATAAGGTATTTTGAAATAGCATTGAAATAAGCTATACAATTTATGTAGCACAAATTGCATAGTTTATTTCAAGCTAAGGGTGCTGTGTAGACACACCCATAGAGAATATGCCCATTGCTGACTCTGGGGTATTTTACTATGTTATTTTGACTGTCCGGTGCTCGCTGGATTTGGTGATCCTCCTTAATCTATTACAACATAGTATAGAACAAGTGTGGATCCATTTAGGGGTCTTATTCTGTTTTACCTATATGGTACAGTCCAAAAGATACATGTTTATTCACAGTTAAAAGCCTGCAAACACTGGATGTGGAGTAGGAACAGTAGCTTGGATGTGCAAAACAACACAATACTAACATTAAATGTATAAAATGTACCAAAAAAATGAACAGGATGCTATATCTATAAATAATGGAAAGCGATTATAACTGCCTTTTCACTCATCTGCAGATTTCAGAAGTGGCACAGGTAATAAGAACTTCCTTATCTTCCCTTAAATGTCCCTTCTGTGGGTTTCCAGGATTATCTGCACTGTTGTATCTCCACTCTTCTGCCTTTAGTTCACTAACTCAACACATTTTCTAAGCTAGAGAACAGCAGTCTATGTTCATCTCCCCTAAGCTTAGTTCAAACACAGCCTCCTCCAGGTGAATCAACCCCAAATCACTCAGCTGAGTCTCTTTAAAAGATGCCTAAGGAGATGTTTACACCACAATTAAAAATCTGCTGGTGGCCCGTGCTAGCTGCCTTGGGCTCATGGGGCTCAGTGTAACGGCCTGTTTAAGTGTGATGTTGATGTTCAGGCTCTAATACCCAACAAAGTGGGAGGGTCCCAGAGCTCCGGCTGCAGCTTGTGCCGTAATGTCTGAATCACAGTTAAACTGCCCCTTGGGCCAGCAGCAAGTGTTTAATTGCAGTGTAGACATACCATAAAAGAAATCCTGCCATTACCTGGGTTGCTCCTGAGTCACTAATTATTATAACGTGTGCAGAATATATAATTTTAGTTGCAGTGACAGCACTTTTTCCATGAGCATGAGTGTTAACCCAGTATCCTGTTTGGAATACACTTTGTGTAATTATTTAGCCTGCCTGAATTTTCTCTGTACTTGCAACTGGATCCTGTCCTATGGAATAATATTACTTTGTTTAACAATTTACCCCTAAACTGCTGTACTTCAGTCATGGACAAAATGATTTGTGTGTGTTACATTAGTAAAGCTCTCTGGAATCTATCCGGATGAAAGGTACATGATGAATATAAAACCATTATCCTTCTGTGTGCCAACATTAGTTACAATTACCATAGCTTTTTCATCATCTTGCATTTATAGGCTACACCTATTCAAATCATCTCAAGTAAAATTTGGTGGAATGGAATTTCTCTTCCATAAAACAATCCTCTTTTTGGTTTGTAGTCACAATTTCTGTCTCCTCTCTTAAATTGTTGTGGCAGTGCCTTAATTTGGGGTATTTCAAAGACATCTCTCCTTCCTTAGTCTTGTTTCAGTATATTTATTTTACAGTATATCACCAGATGTATAATTTTCCTTTTCTATATCCGGCTTGAGTTGATCTGCAGCCAACTGGCAAGCACCCATTCCAAAGTGCAAGCACACAGATTTCTGCAGGAATTGCTGAGAAGTGTGTGGTTTCTTTATTCTAATCAGCACCATGAATTTGAGGCTGCAATGGCATGCAGAATCTTGTGGTGGCCATTAGTGATAATAGCCAGTGTTATGGCTCAGCATTTATTGGTACTGAAATTCACCAAAATTATGAAATTATTTTAACTGCCTTAGTATATAAATATAAAAGTAATAATAGTAACCCTGGTTAACAATCAGGTTCATGTCTACTGGTGGGCTTTCTTGTAATTTAAACCTTTGGGTGGCA